GGATCATAAGAAGTTATTTATATTTGCATTGGATCTCTTTGAATTGTTCTCTTAACTCTCCAAATAATTGCATAATGAAAATTAAAAAACGATCGATTTGCAGTAAAACATGTTGACAAAATTAAATTTCAATTTTATTCAATAAGGAATATCAGAGTGCGCATAAAAAGTTTAATGTTTTCATTCGTAAGCCAATAGAGCTGATAAATTAGCCATGATTGCTAGGCATAGCACTTCTAGGAATGTGAACCACAATATATCTAACCAATATTAACTGCAACAGAAAGAATTATTAGATAGTGTAAAAAAAATAGCGTTAATAGTGTATTTGAAATAATATATCGAAAGTACGCTTATTTCTATGGTAGCATTAAACCACTGATCTACCGATTAAGCAACAATGACGGGAGGTGTAGTACGATCCCATGATGAGCTTTCAATGGGAAGAGCCTTCTCGTATTCTTGTAGTACGGGATTCCGATCACCAGTATAAACGCAATCATAGCTTTCACCATCCGAATCGTAGTCGTGAATGATCTTAAAACTAATTTATTGAAATTGAACAAATCCATCCCTCTTTTACTGTCTTTCATGGCAATTATCGTGACAATGTGAATTTATAAAAATTACCCGAGGTGGTCTTTTAGACGTTGCTAATAATATGTTATAAATACCAATGAGTAATGGTAACATAAATAGCGCACTTTTCATCGTTACGGGATATTTCGAGAATTAGTACCTTAATGAACAAAGACATTGTGAATTCGAATACATTTGAAAAAAAAAATTCAAGACTAATAGAAATTGAAATTGTCCCTCTCCTGAATTTAAGGAAAAGGATTGATGATTGGAAATTTTCAAAAAATCATATCACTGATTTCAGCATCACACTTGCCTTTTGCTTTGCAAAAGCAGAAATGAAAACTGAATAAATTTGTAGAAAGCAAAACAAATATACAACAAATTTCTGTAAATATGCAATGAATTCGTTTTTAATCCGAATAATCTTTGCTCCATACATCTGTATGCCATGACTCAAAAAAACAGTTTTTTTTCAGTGATGAATTTTGCAAAATTTGCAGATTTACAGTAATGCTCTGATTATTTCGCATATTTTTTGCATTTTATAATATTGTCTTTTTGTATTTCAATTTATCTGCAATCCTTTTCATGAGGCTTTCATTGGGAATTAAAAGCGCATTCATCAAATATCAAGTTAAAGATAGGAAATTTGAATGAAAGAGAAAAAAATGTGAGGAATATTGCGAATCGCACAAACCAAAAGCTGTTTGAACCTCTGGTCATTTAATTCCAATTAATGTGGTACGAAAAGCTTCCATTCGAGCATTTCTACCGTTTTAAAAATCTTGTACTTTACCTTGTCCTTCATCATGTCGATGACTTTTCACTTTTCAGCTCATTTTTACAATTTCTGATGATAACAAAAGTTAAAATTAGCGATTCCATCAGCCAAATTATTTTCAGATGCATTGACAGCATTGGAGAAAGATGAGAAGTCTTGTAACCGTGAAGAACTGTGATACTATCAAAGATATGGCAGTGGATAATAGTCATCGATGATTATGACATTTCAATCTATTCAATCTATCTATCTTCAACTTCCTCTCGTCAATCATTTTCAAGAAAATAGATATCTTTTTAATTTCAATTTACTGTTCCGATTAACCTAATATTGCCTGCAAGTCATATCGCTACGCTCTCGAAATTTCATTCTAATAATGACGATATGGGGATTGTATGAATCAATTTGTTTTATTCCTTTCTCGAGAAAATGCGTTTTAAAATCTCATCGTCTACTTTATCATCAGAAGTGATTGCTAATTTTAATTCTTAAAAGACTTCTTCGGAAGCTTAATATTTATATCAATAAAAGAGAAATGAAAAACGATCAATTAATTAAACGAATTTTAAGCAATTCCAAAGATAAGATTACATTAACTTTAAGAATTTGAATTTGAGTTTTATAATTTCATCAAATTCGATACTGGAATATATTTTTTCAACAAAGTTTGATTTTGCATGCTGTTGAGTTAGCAATTCATTTGAAAAAAAGGCTTTGTAAGATTTGAGGAAAACAAAGTTTTTGAAATCAAATGCAAAAAAGTGGGCGAATTACGGTAAGCATTCGAAGGAAAGAAAAGTTCTCATAGTAGCTGTACATTGACAGCGGTCAGTGACGCACGGCATGGATCTTCCCTCTATAGTTGGCATCCTTCACAGCAATAATTGCCTTTTTTTATAGACAAACTGGAGAAGAGGTTGAGAGGAACTGCGACACACTGTGACATCCTTGTTGTCTAAGTAGTGGAATAGCTAGCTTAGGGAAATTCTTTATCGCCGAGAAAATCTGCCAAATAGTCCTCTATTATCACTGAATTATCTTACTGAAGTTTACCTAAGAAGTGAAATTAGTGAGCAGTGGACGGTAAAAAGGTGTAAATATCGGTCACAATAAAAAAAATAAAAAAGGTGTAAATATCGATCACAATATAAATTTCAATTAATGAAAGGAATAAGTAAGGATCACGAGGATATATTAAACATTTTTTTGTGGGTAATGTCCTCGGTCAGGAAATACCTCGGATTTTTTGTCCAAACAACCCATGGATGATTGAACATTCAATCAAATGGCCAACGGTCATCCTCCTTACAATTTAGTGAGGGATTGATTCGTCGAGGAATTGGAAGGTAGGGTTGAAATAAGAGAAACTGGCTTGGCTGAAATAGCCATTAGCTAGGCTAACAATACAACAAAGTGATGAACAGAACAGTGCCTGATTTAGGCATTACAATTGTAGACACAGTGTGATCCAAAAAAAAAAAAAAAACGATAAACTTTAACTTCAGTGGAAAATTTGGCTTTTCTTGGAAAACGAATCATCTGTGGTTCTTCAGAAAGACATACAAAGTAAGAAAGGTTAGCTTTTTCTTTTAAATGACAATTTCTTAATTAAAAGAATCACACATTGCATATCTCCTTGTTCTATCCAATTATAATTTGTTAAAAAATGGATGTGTAGGATGGAAAGATTATTGTGGACAAAAGCGCACCGGCTTTATTCTCACAGTTTTTCTTTTATGTAAATTGGTTCACAACTGGTCTAAAGATGCTTCTTTGTTGCACTGACTCCGTCACCACATAAGTAATAGCTGATTTAATTAAAAATCCTGACTGCTTATTGGCTGCTCCACATCGTGTCACTCATATTGTCAATTTATGGTCAAACTACTTGAAACATAAAAAAGTAATTATTGGATTAACGAATTATGCCACTTTCTGTTGGATTGCTTGTTGATATTCAATTTTTGAAGTTTCTTTTTCGAACACCGACCTCAGCAAGATAAATTTAGAAATTGGAGGAGTTGAGGAATATGTTAAATTTGGTCATTTGAATATAAGACATGTAATTTAAACTTAATGCATTTTTCAGCCTAAACTTATTTTTGAAACGATTTCAGCATTTTTAAAGTCTCCAAACACTCTAATATATGAATGTTTCAGGATGTTTAAATGAATGATGACTGCCAAGAAAACGTAAATTTATTCCATTTCTCACACATATTTATGCCGAATGAGAATTTTTATCATATTGAAGGCGTTGTTTAGATAATTAGTTTCAAATTTTTTGTAATTAAGTGTTACATCTTTTCTTGATCAACCTGGGTTGTATTTGTGAAAAATCTTTACACCACAATAATTGCGTATCAGTAGAACGTAAACAAGCAATGTCGCAAACAGTCATAAACTAGCGATAAAAAAGTGATATCGGTGAAAAAGCCAGAATGTGGATAAGTCCACAATTTCGAACATGACCAGAATCAGAAATACTTTAATTTAAAGCTATACTTCTTACACCAAATTGACCAAATTTGAAACTCCAACTTTCCCCCACTGCTAATTCATTGACGATTGACAGAACTTTGATATCCAGAAAAACTGATCATTTGAAATGCAATGTCAACATCCATCTCCACTATTCACAATTTTTGATTAGTCCATTACATTACACCGATGAGTTAAAAATACCATGCAATTGAGCTTGGGTTATTCCTACACAAAGGAATGGTTTCCTTAGGATTTTGTCTTCCATGAAATTTATGCAAGTCAGGAAACTCCAATATGCCTGAGCATACTGTTTCTTGTGCGGTTATAAGTTTTCTTGGGTATAAAATTATCTGCTTACTTCATACAAGTTACTTCATACAAGTAAGCAGATAATTTTGTACCCAAGAAAACTTATAACAAATGGAAAGAATTGACATTTTTAAATGACAGACGCAAATATTTACGTTCAATTTCAACTGATCGCAATGTATAAAGTGATAGTTTGATAGATCATGGTTCGTCTTCCGTTCTATAGTCGTCGATGACTCGTGAGAATGATTTGAATGTTTCAGAAGTTGCCAAAAACAATTCTGTTTCGTCATTAAATTCAGGAGCAATTTCGCTTTGATACCGTCCTCGTATTGCGCCAGCCAATTAGGGCCACTCGAAAAAGTAACCGAAATTACAAGGATATCTGTTTTCTCTGAAATCATTGACTAAAAAAAATGGGAGATAGATTGGAATACTGTCATCGTTGACCATTGTTCATTGCGACATCATTAACAGCAGTGTAATTCTCCACCGCTATAAGACTTCTCATCTTTCTCTAATTCCGTTAATGGATCTGGAAATAATTCGATTGAAAAAATTGCTATCTTCCATTATCATTAGCACCTCTGTTAAAGCGAGTTTGATTGAGCTTGACGGAATTTGCGAACTGTCGAAAACTTTTAGTTGAAAACAAAATTTTTTATGGCAAATAAAAAAATAATGAAACGTAACCTTTTCATATGTCCATAGTGAGGACAATAGAACAAAATATATTTGTACTTGAAGCGATCTTGGCTTTGCCCGTCTCAAAGTGCGATATGGAAGGATTCCAGAATATTCCAGATACTCCGGAATTCCAGAAAATCCTAGCAACATTCAAGAATCTTATATTCTTCGAAGCATTCCTCAAAAAAGTTGAAGAGGGAAAAAATGACAATTAGCATTTACAACAATTAATTAGCAAACATTTTCATATTTTTATTTCCGATTTTCACTTCCATCTTTCAATATTATTAAGTAAAATAAGAGTTTGGTACAAGATTGTTCACTGGAAGAACAGTGGGAATTTTAGAATCAAAAATTTGCCACTTGCTTTTCGCCACAGCAATGGAGTTAATAGAAGAATCTGACGAAGGAACAACAACGGCATTGTTTCTGTTTCATTTCCACTTACCTAATAAGTGCCGGAAAAATCGATATTATGATATTTCTAGCCTGGTGATATTACTATGTCCAAGGGACGGATATTCCATGTTTAATAACTTCGGTAATTTAGTCGGATAAAAATCAAAATGCGTTTTTTTAATTCGCTAAATAAAATTGATTGATTTATTGAATATCAGGAAGAGCACACTCTTTTCCTTTCTTTCACCCTTCGTTAAAAGGTCTAAAATTGAGATCTCTAATAGTACCGAAATTTCTAAATTACGCCACCAAACTAACATATGCAAAATCTTGGATTTGTAAATATCGTGGATTTGTAAATATAACAGGCAGGCAATGTTCTTCTTGTTCTTCTAGTATTTCTACATGACCTTGCAAAAAAATTCCAGAAAATATTTTCCATGGAAAACTCCAGAAAATACCTACTTTCGGCCAAATTGAGTCAGTCCAACTTCCAACGCAACTCTTGGATATTACTTTCTTTCAATGCTTTCTTCTTCCCGCATTTTGATGACTCAATCGCTCAATTGAATGGTAGGCCTTTTTTTTGACTCGAGAACTTGTTTTGAAGAAAATAAAGGAAAAAGATGAAGAAAGTGAAAATACGAGAATACGGAATGCAGTGGATGAAATAGTAGTAGGAATGTTAAGTGGAAATTATTAGAGACAAGATTCCTCATACTTGGCTTCAAGAGTGAAAAGTTAGGAGAGGGTAAAGTCTCTCTGGTAGAGAGAGAGAAGGAATGTACTAGGGGAGGAAGCGTGTAGTCTATGAAATTTCAAAATTTCAAATTTCATATCCAACATTCATCAGCTTATTGAACCACAAACGATAAATTGAATTTATTTATCAAATTAAATGCGTAGGCTTCGATAAGTTACTTACCTTTGCTAATGTGGTAAGAAACCGTCGGGAAAGCTAGTTTTGTTGAACTCGTTTCTTAGCGACATAGATTTATTTGGGATGTAACATTGTTCTTGCATTAAGACTACTAGTTAACAACAAAAAGGGATGTAAAATATATATGTATATTACATGATGAATTGGTAAGCAGTGATGAGCAATTCTCACATGTCATCAAACGCATAATGCAAGTAACTTCATTTAGGTTTTTGTTTCAGTAAGAATATGAATTTTAAATTCGATATCAAAATGCCGAAATTCATAAATAGAAGCGAGTTTCTAAAGAAGAATTTAGAATGCACCCTTGTTGTTAACCCTGTCGTTCAGATAAATTAGGTCGTTCCAGCCAATTCTTGTACATTACTCTCTTTCAAGCTTCCTGTACAGTTACTGACCGTATCGTGACAAAATAGTGTATTTCACGCGGCTATTTAAAAATATTATATACGTAGTAGCCGAGAGTTAGGTTACTGCTAGACATATGTTGTGGGCAGTGATCAGCGATTATACTTCAACCAAATTCATTTGGTTTATGATTACAGAGCAGACAGATAGTCCATTGATTTCAGTCATCACACTATTTGACGCTGCGAATAACAATGAATTGATCGAATCTCAGTATTTGTGAATGTATAATCAACAGTAATAAAAAATAGTAGCACTATTTATTTCCATTGTAGCGCCCAAAATTATTTAAAGGAATAAAGCAAAAAAATCGACAGATAATGATCGAATGGAAGGAAAAACAAGGTGCAATTAAATTATGGTAATCACATGATTTTGATCATTATTAAGTGTGTTGAACAACGAATTAGAAATAAAATCATAATTGCATGAAACATGACACACAAAAGATTTTCAAATGAGAAAGATCCATTCAGAATCTTTGTGTAAACGTGACTGGTAGCAGAAAACATGACCTCTAGTTTCTGTGAAGGCTTATGACCCATACCCGATTCCTGCAGAAGTGCAAGCAATACAAAGTAAAAGAAAGTAAAAGAAGGTGTAGAAAAAGTACAAAAAAGTAAATTAAAATACAAATGCAAAAATACAACCAATACAAAGTTGATATTAATGATCCAATCAATATGCATCATAGTTCAGCACTGCAGTGTTTTCGTATCACATGATTTGGTATTGTTGACACTCATATTTCTTACATCATCAGCAAACTTTTTGAATTCTCGAACAGCCACCAAGAAGTCATGTCGAGAGATGGCATTAAAAATTTGCTGCACAAGTGGCGCAAAAATCTTGTCGCATCTCTGCAAAAGATTGCATGCTGATGAATGGAACGATGAAGGAAGAGAGAAATACGGTAACATTACTCAAATCTGTCCAAGAATACGGGCAGTATCAGAGATTGGATTTAGTATCGATTATTACTCTTACCTTCAGTTTTTCCTCTCTAATAGCCGCGATCGCGCGCTGAATACGTGGTGGTCGGACCCGTTTTACTTCATTTATTGAAATATCGGTTGGTAATTTGCCTTGAAGCAGGATCTCTGGCGGTTGTAGAAGTACGATCATAACATCTCTTAGTTGCACATCCGACCATTCCGATAGACGATAATCAGCGCCATATACTCCGAAGATGAACGGTAGGTACACTTCCTGTGGCAGGCATCGTCCACAGTTAATGATATAAGCTAAACTGAACTCTAATTAAAATGGCCAGAAAAAAAAAAGTTCCGTATATAATGAAAGTTTAGATATGAGATTCCTTAAATGATAGATGGAACAAAAACACAACCCAGTCGTAGATATTTTTACGATTGCCCATCAACAAAAATTAATGTCCTCAGTCAATTCAGAAACCAAAAACAGCTCAAATGGCATCAAACGAACATCACGGGAAATATACACCTACGGGGTGGAAAACGAACCGTTCATAATCAAATATTCTATGCGCTGAAATCGATCCAATAATTGAGCTGCGAATATTTGCTTCAAAACAGAACCTATCGAAGGTAAATTCTGCTGTGACATTTGTTGTCTTCCGTCATCCTGTTCTGTCATCTGAAAATGTCACCTTTCTAATGTTTTTTCATCCTTCGTAGACTTTTTTCAAGTATAAAGCTGTGTGCTTACTTCTGCGGAACGAGTAACTGGCACAAATGCTGAGTTTTCTTGCGATGAAATATGGAGAGCGGAATTTCCTGGGGATGAAACAACCGAAGTGGAGTTTTCTTGGGATGAATTAGCAAGAGTAGGATGATTTTCTGAAGATAAAATGAAAGGGGCAAAATTGTTTTCCGCAACTTTGCGAGTATTTGCATGTTCATTTACATCCGGTGCTGTTTCTCCAGTGTATTTGTATCCCAGTGTTGTTTCGCCTGAAATAGCGCAGTGATATTACCGTATCATTTGTTGGTATCTAACAAAATATGCTGAAAAGAATCGATAGAACTTGCCTGTTTCTCCCGTTTTTTCTTCTTTCAGAATCTTCAGTACAGGGCCTCCTGTAATTTCTATAATTGATTATAGAATAATTTCAATGACAGATTGAGTCGGGAAATCCATGAACTCACCAGTTATGTTTCGTCGCCTTTTGTTTATGACACGTAAGTAGTCTTCTTCAGTATTGTCATGATTGTGCTCTTTGTGGAATGATGAAATTCGAAGACATCCATTTGTTGTGTCAGCATTCAAACGAAATCTGGCTTTGCAACCCAATGGAAGATAACTTTGATTTGGACGTTGACCGCCACCTGAACCGAATTATGAAATGTTTGCTTTGCTCCTACAAGACAAGTCTAATACTTGATCGAAGTTGTGACAAGTGTCGCGTGAAGCTTCTGCTATACTTACAGTTCCACAGCAAATTGAGTGATAGAGAGGCATTAATTCTTTAGCTGAAATTTATGAGTAATAGCAAGCTGCAAGTTCTTCCGGTCAATTTCTTCGGTGACCTTTGCACTCGTCATATCGGTACAGTTGTATTTATATAGGTAATAGAATAAAATATGATTTCATTGTTAAAAGTAATTGTTTGTGTGCCGCCTGGGGGATTTTCAATTTTATGATTAGTAACTGCTACAATTTTGTGCAAATGCTGTAACAGTGGATGGCAACTTGGCTTTGGCTCGACATAAAGCATTAATAACCTTGGCTTATTTTCGAGACTTGATAACATAAAGCATTAATAACTTTGGCTTACTTTCGAGAGTTGATAACATAAAGCATTAATAACTTTGGCTTATTTTCGAGACTTGATAAGTTATTGGAGGTTTTTTCTTTTTTTTTCCCCCAATAAACAATGCATCTTAGAGTATGTGTTATGGATGTGATTGTCATTTATTGATCATTTCATTGCTTTAAAAAGACTGGCTGGTTGGATCCCTTGAAATTACCCATTCCAATACCACCAATCTTTCTGATATTAAGAGAGCAGCTGGTGAACATAATTTCCATGGTTTGGAAGGATACTGCTCCCAATGCTTTACAATGGCCAAAATGAGGAACCATAATGTAAAAAAAAGTCTCAAAATGAACTCCTAAATATGTATATTATTACCTCTTTTACGTGGAGTCCCATAATGGGCACAGTGAAACACGATATATTTATATTTAAAGCGATCGATCATTCGCCCTTCGCCATCCCGGAGAATCTCGGAACTAGCTACTCTATACGGGTAATTCCCCGTCCTCTTGTATGCTTCAAAACATTCTTCGAATTGCTCAAAACTGAAAAGAAGGGAAAGAATCATACTGGTGATGAAACTAATATTGTAATGTTTTTTTTTTTCTGACACTGCCATTAGAATATGTTTATTATAAAAGTAAACAAAGACCTTGAAAATGTAGCTCCATCATAAATACATGAAGAATTGTGCCAAAGTTCTTTTTGCTCTGCTGGTGTAAATGTCGAGAATGTTCTATTGCCGTATCGTTGATTGAAGTTTGTTAATTTCGATTCAGTACGCTTTCGCTTAGCACTTGATGAAGCTGAAACAATGATTTCATATCTTTGAATTAAATTGAAGAGGATAAAAAACAGAAAGTACCACAATAGATTATCAAGTCCTCACCATTTCCGGAATTATTGACCTCCTCACCGTTACGTTTTCTAGACCTTTCCTTGCAATGCTGTTGACCTGATATCACTTTATCAGGTTGCTTGTCCAATAGATTATCTTGTCCATTTCTATTGCTTAAATCAACAGGCTTTTCTTCGGTCTCATCAAAGGATAACTGTACAGTATTTTCCGTTTTACTCCCACTTTGCTCGATGTCGTTTTCTAAAAGTACTCTGTCTTGTAAAGAATGCCTATTTTTTTAAAAAATATTTCCATTTATCTGAAAAATATTTCTAATAAAGCATCGATTGCTTACGGATAATACGTCTAATAAAATTCGTCTTCCGTTTATTTCGACTCAATCCGTTTCCAACTGCCACCGTACCGAATTCTTCATTCACTGAAAATGTGTCAGTTTTTTGAGTATTGAACCGTTAAAATTCAAGCGATACTTGCGATTTCACGTGCTTTCGGACATTTGAGTTATTACAAGATTTCATTTATGTTTCCATTCGTTCCACCGGATTTTTTTACTCCACTGAGTATATCTAATCAGTGAACCGTTCTCGTTACCGTAACCAGTTGCCGCCTTCCTATTTAAATACATTCCTATGACTGAGATTCCCAAAAAACGGTACCCTTACGAGTATCATTGCCTCTGCCGGAAATTTCCATTTCATTTTCAGTTCGTTTCATCAACGCCTTTGCAGCAGCTTCTATTGCACATCCACCTTTCATCTTTTCCTTTCTCATTTGCTCAGCAGTTTGCAGTTCTGCAGCTGCAGTAGACGATTCAGCTTGCATCCACAAATTCCCTTCATCAGCTGCTTCTTTCACATCCGCAATTACTGGATTCTGCAAATTCAATTCATGCACATTACCCTATTGTCTCACTTCAATCCTTGTCATATATGTTTAGGACGGACTTGAATACTTATTGATACTTACCTCGATATGAATACTTTCAGCTTCAACCGCACACTGCGAGGTTGTGGTTGGGAGTTGTTCATGCACTTCAACTTTGCGTTTCGGTGATGACATTTTAAGCCCAAATAAAATTATGAGATTTTTTGCTAATTTAACAATTCAAATTAATTTCATATGTTTTAACTCCCGCGTGAAAATTCTATACGGATAGAAGGATAGTCACAGAAAGCGACGGTTATAGCAATAATAATAGTAATTGATTTATCTTATTCTTTTCCCGAAAAAATGCTTTCTAGAATCTCACCATTGGTTTCATCATCAGAAGTTCATTGCTAATTTTAATCCTTAAAAGATTTAGAAGGTTAATATTTATTAATTAAAAGAGAATAAAAAACGACTAAAATTAAGTGAATAAGATGGAATCAAACAATTTTTAGTGATTGAATTAAACTTTGAAATTCAAACAATTTATTACTTAATGAATTTAATCCAATTTGACCCCATTTTAATTCAATTTTAACCCAATTTGCTGGGGTTATTTTGAATCACAACTTAGTTTTTATAAGAAATATCATTCCGACAAAAGTAATGGAGGCTAATTTACTTAAAATTTATGAAAATCAATTTAAAATCCTATTTTTTTACACGGTTTAAATTGCAAACATTCTAAGAACTTTTGATGATTACTTATCAGAATTGAACAGAATAATCGGAATTAAGTAGAGAAGTTGTTGAAGAATTTGAACACTTTGTTGTAATTTCAGGATTTCATCCAATTTGACAGACAAATATATTTTTTCACCAGACAAAATTTAAATTTTTATTTCAAATAAAGCCAAATTTTAAGGCCATTCAGTTGGTAAAGGATTTGAACAAAAAGTTTTGTAAGTTTTGAGAGATGCAAAATTTCAGAACTTAAATGAAAAATGAAAAGTAAAGAAAACGAAACACATTTTACTGCCATAAGGAAGAAAAGGGAGAAAGCCAAAGATTGGGGTCAGGAAGGAGACCACTGCTGGGGGTCAGCTTGCTGCTGCAGATATAGTAGGGAAGGATGGTCAACGACTGCTGGTTGACATCCCTGACAGCGATAGTCGCTTTTTTTTGTAATCAAGAGGGAAGCAGAAGAGAGTGGACAGAGGTTGTAAGAGGGACCTTCCTTCTCTCCATTTCTCTGACATTCTCAGTCCCTTCTCTTATTTCATCTTACCAAAAACAACCCTTTTTTGGGGAATGGAAACACTTGCATGAAATCTAACGAATCCCAAAATGAATATATAATTTTCGGAGAGTTTTCAAAGATTGGTCAAGAACTAGGACTTCCGCGTGGAGACACTTACTTTTTACTAATTTCATGATGACCTTCACAAGTTCAAAAGAGATAGCCTTGCTAATTAGGGAAAAGAGAATCTCTCTTAACTTTTAGCTTCAACTAACTGATCTATTGCTTAGATGGGCTTTTAAGATCAGAAGTGATAAAGACGCCTCCAATATTAAATCGAATATATGGAAACTTCGTCAGAAAATTTTTCCGGATTATATGCCGGAACTTAAAGTTGCAAAACTCCGTGAAGATGGACTTTATAAAGTCCTCAGTCTTATAAAACGACCCTCTTCTTCTCTACCTTCACATCAGATTTTCTTTCATTTCATCCGCTTTGCTATGAATGAACGCACATGACACAATGCATTTCGCAAAGAAAAACGCAGTAATCAGAGAAGGAGAAGAAGAGGATTGGAAGTGTCCACGGGAATGGACGGCAGATCGCGCGTCGGTCAGCTGATATAGTGGTCAGTTCAGCAACATAGCACATTATTTATGACGGGGAAAGCAGCACTTTTCGTTTTTTTGCGGCTCCATTCCCTATATGTCTGTCTGCCTTCCTTTGACTGTCACTTCTGCACTTTCTCACTTACTGTCTGTTTCACTCATGTTAATACACAAATTATTTCATTAGGGAATTTTATAAAAGTTAAGAAAAGTATAATTTCAGAGGACAAATTGAGTGCGAAAGTTCGGAAATGAAATTGATTGCAATGAAAATGTCTATGAAAGCAAAAAAGAGAGAAATGTCGAAAGCTCAGAAAAGCGGGAAATCTCCGGAGATAGCCTAAAATACAGTAGTGGATAGTGGTGAATGGCGAGTTGAATCTTCATCCATCGTTGATATCCTTGACAGCGATGGCCATCTTTTTTGCAAATGACGAAAAAAGGGTTCGACTATGACATATTCCTGATGTCCAGTAGGGCGTTTTGAGAAAATTCTTTGTAGACGGGGAAACTTGCTCAATAATCCTTTATTATCACTGAATTAAATAAATCTTAGAATATGAAGTAGAAGCAGATGAGTGGAAAAACGTAGCCATCGGTCACTCAATCAATGAAAGCAACAAGTAGGGATCTCGAGAACATGAAGTTCCAACAAAGCGTTTTTTCTCTTGCATCTTAATTAATAGAATACTGTAATATAGACAACCAAATTAGGCCCTGCAATTGTTACCACAATTCCATTTCCAGCAAACGCAAGTAACTTGAAAAGTTTAACTTTTACTTTGAAAGTTAAGCGACAAAAAAGATGAGGAAGAGTCTACAAGAGTGAATATCGGCTAAGAGATCGATGTAGTGGTCAGCTCAATGATTGCACATTTAACAAAGTTCAAATTATTTTTTCACCTTCTCCCTATCTCCTCTTTGACCATCATTCGTACATTTCCTCACTTCACTTGTTGTTGTATCGTATTCTTTGACAGACAGTTCAAACACAAAAGCTCTATGACGCGGATGAAGTATGACCTTTGACTTTAAACAGCATCTAATAGTGATGTGTATTTTAATTTCCTCATCCAAATATCCAGAAAGCTTTAGAAACATTTTGGATATGCGCTATGTCAGTTAACAAAAAAACACAAATATCTATTTGGAACAAATAAATAGTAATAAATTTACTCATTTTTGAAAAAAAAAATAACAAAGTTTTTTTTTTTTCAAAATTGAATAACAAAGGTCTTTTTTGTTTTGCATTAGTTGGTAACATATTGTAATTAATAATGCAATATTCAAATCTCCAAAAGATATTTTTGTTGTTTGTTTTAAGTTGTCAATTCAAATTTATTAAAATTAATGAGCATAATTTTGCCTTCAAATTAATATTGGTTCAAAAGAATACAAGTCTCCAATTCATTTTCCTTATGTTAAAATATTGCCTTAAAATTTAAGAATTAATATAATAACAGCTGTAAAAATGTTAAAATGACATTCGTCGAGGTATATTTGTGACAAAAGAAGGACTAAAATCATTTGGTGGATGTATGTGATATGAATTATAATAGTAGTAGACGCTGTTATCCAGCTGTTACAACCTCTGTTTTAATGGATTGTGGTTGTATTATAATTAGGTACATATACGACTGACTGGCATTTAATGATTGTCACCAACTGTTTGCAAAATTTCTAGGAAATAAATTTTAAACCATGTGACAGTTAAAATCTTAATTAATCCTTACCATATTATAATATTATATATTTTTGTTACTACACATAAAAATAGTAAATGGTAATGAAATAAAGAATGGGAAATAGTAGGGAGATACAAAATAGGAAGTGGTAATGGAAGAAATAACAAAAAAATGGTAGGAAATGGTAATGGAACGTAAAATGTGAATTGTTAGCGGAATACAAAATGAGAAATGGAATTAAAATATAAAATAGGAAATGGTAATCATCGAAATCTAAACTTCTGATTTCATAACCATTTTATCACATCTCATTGTTTGCTTCACTTGAAACCGTTTGATTGTAAATTTAAATGTTAAGATACAATATAATTATATGGGAATTTAACTGTAAGCTGTCACATGTGCATGTAAATTTGTTATTTGAATCGACTATCAATTAATATCAAGTTAAATTTAAGGCGTAAAAATGGAAATTAGAAGAGTTGTTACCATCCTAAAAAAGCATACTTTCTCTTCTCTTAAAATTCTTTTTAATTTTTTGAAAATTTCAAAATTTCATCACGAAATTAGTTATGCGAAATGATAACGGTTTGTTTAGCTGTTGCGCATCTGCTTTATACTTGAGTAAAGTTACTTTATACTATCTTTACAATTTGGCTTAGAACTCATTTACAAATGACTGAACATGTTCTGCACTTTGACCTAGTCATACTTTACAACATGATCTGGATGTGTTCCACAAGTCTCATCATTATGCTCGGCAAAAAATGATCGATAAAATTAAATCCGATACCGTTATGATTATATCTTGATCTGTACAACATAACAATATGATCTGAATAAACCTTAACTGTTTGTATGTGTTAAATGTTATCCAAAGTATATTAAGTATTAAAGTAATATCTATCCAAAGGTATCAAATAGAATATGAATATTTGCATAGTAAATGATTACTCATCCAATAATTATACCCACTTAACTTTGTCCTTATCGACCATTTTTCTTCATAGACCATCTATACCCAAGCTCAGTTTCCGCCCCACCTATCCATCATAGAAATGATGTTGACAATTCCATTCACAATGTAATTGTGTCAACTTCTTCACACTTCATGCCAAGTAACACTGACCGTTCCCACAATCTTAAAGTGGTTGTCCTCACCAAACTCGCTTAATTCTTTGTTCGATAATTCATTCTAATCCATATTTTCGTCATAATTAGATTTCGACATACTTAGACTTGATTTTCGTCACAATCAGATTTCGATATATCCATTGCTTGACAACCAGATTTCGACATATCCATTACTTGACAATCAAATTTCGATATATCCATTACTTGAGAATCAAATTTTGATATATCCATTACATGAGAATTAAATTTCGATATATCCATTACTTGAGAATCAGGTTTTGTTATATCCATTATTTGATTTCATTTACAATTATGTCTCCATATACTACAACCAGCACTTTCGGAATCATCAATAAGCAGCAAAATAGTTAAACTTGAATACCTATACTATTGAATATCGATATTTATTAAAAAGTATTTGAAACTTAAATAATAAAGCCATAATCTATAAAAAATTAATGTTGCAGTAGTATTATAATATAAAAATAAAAAAGTATTATAATATGAAAGTAGTATAATAATAT